GATTGCACATAATGACTTCAGTAAGCACTGTCCTTAATAAGAAACGCTCATAAAATATTCACATTTAGAGTAAAATAGGTAACAGAGGAATGAGGGATTAAAGGTGTAGCTACTTGTGGGAGAAAAGTTAAAAACTCATGAACGTGTATCCTCATTTTCTCTGATTACTTCTTGCTTAATCATATGTGATTTTAAAAATGCCAAATGGGAACAGCCAAATACTCAAAATGGGACTTAATAAACCCGTGGCTGACATCAGAGTGGTAAAGACCTTAGGCGCTCTTTTATAAACCAGAAGATTTCTGCATTTGTATTAAATCAGTGATGCCATCTTGTGGTAATGTAACTAGAATTTAAAAAAAGACAGAATACCAAATGCAAATATCAAGGGTAGTTACCGATTTGCCTTTCAGGCAAACAGCTGTGATTTTTTTACAAGATTTCTAGAAGCGGGACTTGGCACTGTTCTGATGTTGTTTATGAAAACTACATATTGGATTCAGCTGAATAATTTCATTCAAAGCTTTATTTATTATAATTAAACAATTAAGACCAATGATGTCATAAATAGATCATATCCCTCTGTTGATGTATTAAAGGCTAGTTGAACATTTGGCATTGTCTAGTTCAAGGTTTTCTTGATGTGAAAATGACTGTTATGATGAGGGCCAGGCTTTCCAACTTGGCAATCAAGGAAGTAACAGAAATGGTCAAAATGCCAAACTCGAGCACATTTTCCTAGAGCTGCATGGGGCCAGTTATTAATTAATGTACTCTAATAAGAGAGAATTTGGAGGCACACTAAGGAAAACAAGGCACCGCAACTAATTATACAAGAACCACTACCGGCACCTAGGGACTTTGTTTCCTAATCAGCACATTTTCTCATCATGGCTTATGTATCTTGATTAACTCATTCATGTAAGTACAGAACATTGACTTCCACCACTTATCCTCTATTAATATAAACTACATACAGATTCCTATCATGTGGTATAAACGTTCAAACCACAAAGACCTTCAGCTGAACTGAGACGATGTCTTACACATATGTTACACAATGACGCCATTAGCGGTGTTTTTCTCAAGCCAGCAATATTCAAAAGAAGAAGCCGAAGCCAGAAAAATTCCTGTTCTGTCATTGCACATCATTATGAATATGTCTGTGCTCTCGTACCCTGGCTGGTATGATGTGGAACTAGAATGTGAATGGAAGACAGAGCGTGGCAAACAGGAAAGTAATGATGAATGAAGATCCAATGAAAATTAGTGACAGCTATTACCAAATGATCAGCGGGATTTTCTGACTACAGCAACATTAAATCAAAATGTATCTGACAGTGATAGATAGGGAGGAGAGGGATGATGACAGCCTGTGAATAGAAGACATTCAGTGGCAACTGTGAATACGACATGCAAGTCCTGTCTTGCAGGTGGAAGATTACATTCAGAAAGTCGCAATACAGTCACGGCTGCCGCAGCTGATTGGCAGTGATAAATTGCACAGTTAATAGGAAAATATGGGAATATTTTAACTGACTCAAATGTACAAACTGATCATTTTCCAGCACAACCGGAGTGATGAATGGATAATTTGCACAAGTTTGCCATTAAGTCTAAAATAAAATCCGTCTCAGTTTAAGAACAACTTATCGAGATGTCTGCATTACAAGGACCGAATAAATAACACATTCTTCTTTAGTACAATGTTGTTCAGAAACTACAATATCCTACAGTAGGGATGGGTACCGGTATCCGGTGCCATGATGGCAAAAAGGCTAAAATGACCAAAGAAAAAGTGGGAAACAGTTAAACATGAGAGGTTTTTGGACAAAGTTTGTGTTTTTTCCATTGTTTAAGCACTGCTTCCAGCCAAGATTGATGCCATATATGCCCCATAGCTGCAGAAAAGGCTAACATGGTTATCTTTTTACAAAAAAACAGCTGAACATGAGAGGTTTTTGGACCAATTTTGTGTTCGCCATTCTTTAAGCACCAGTTTGAGCACCGGCACCGTTTCAAAAGTACCGGTTTGGCACCGGTATCGGATAAAACCTAAACGATACCCATCCCTATCATACAGTTTTTTCCATTCTTAAACACCTCATAGTTCCATATCCCCCCCATTATAGCACTTTGCTGTTGGATTGAAGGCTTACTTCATAGGATATAAAAGTAGAGTGGGAGCTTCAGCTTCAGGCTCCTCGTCAGTCGAACCAGCTCCCAGCTTAAATTTTGGACACACACTGTGTAAACTTTTAAATTAAATTTAAAAAGTAAAGCTTAAAACTTTCCGTTTTTGATAAAGCGTAACTATTTAGGACTCAAGGGTTTCTTGTTTGCGTCTAATCATTAGTTATTATTAATCTCTAGCTCTCTTGCACAGTGTGTCTTTTGCCCCATGTCTCTCCCCAGTCGTAGCAGATGGCTGCCCCCTCGATGAGCCTGGTTCTGGAGTTTTCTTCCTGCTAAAAATGAGTTTTTCCTTCCCACTGCCACTAAGTGCTCGCTCATATGGGGTCATCTGAATGCTGGAGCTTTCACTCTATTACTGTAGGATAATAGATAAACAATGATAAAAAGCACCTTGAAGTGACTGTCGGGATTTGGTGCATTATAAATAAAACTGAATTGATTGAAATCATCCTGCTGCTGTAAATACAACTGCCACATTTGGTGCACAGGCTCACAATAAAGTTATATTTTCTTAAATTAGCCATCTGAATGCTTAAACAACTGTATCAACGATATTTACAATTATTAGTATAGAGAATGTTTACAATATGACTAGAAGAGAGTTCGTCAGACAGTCATTACCGTGGTCTTTTTAGTTTTATATTATTCCACCAAAAATCAATAGTTCATTTCACAGAGATATATTTAATGTGAAAATGAGCTACATGGTAACTTTCAGACATAATTCATCACAATGCACCAGCTGACAGAGCATGTTAAATGAAGTAGGCCAGCATGGCCCAAAATACTGTGCAGCTGACTCTCTTATGCCCTGTGGGAAATAACAGGACAGGTGCTTCCATTGCATTTACAGTGTGTAGCTCCAAGAGTAGTTCCTCTATTGTTCCTACATACCTGTGTCATTTGAAACATTTGAAGAACAACTGTGTCTGCTATGGCAGGACAACAAACATTGTTGAACTATTTTTGTGTGGGAACATATTTCACAGGAGTTACAATACCTCTGAACAGTCAAACAAAAAACGGACTCAGGGTTTTCATGCTAAATGCTGCTTGTAGTGACAGGGTACAGCTTATCTTATGCCTAATTAAACGCCAGCATATTGTTGGCAGGAACAAGAAAATGTGTGGTATACAAGTTTTATGCCAAATTGTGCTTTTTTCCTGTTATTCCACAGCAAATGTCCCAAGGCCAGCAACCAGTCTGCAACCCAGCTGTTCTGTGTATCAGGGAAATATGCAGTGTCCAACTTCAGTGCTTTTAGATGTAATATAAACATGTAGCAGTATGTAACGCAAGCTGAATCACAAACCAGTGCATGAAATGTTTTTCCCGAATCCAAAAACCTGGTGGAGGCAGCGAGGTAATTATCTTAATACTGTTTACTGCATTCACAGAAAATTACCCCTCTGAAGTGACTAATCTGTTTGCTGCTAGCACCATGTGCTTTGTCAGAATAGACCGTTAAGATGGATTTTTCCAAAATTATACAATTTTAATGAGCTGATAAGAGCATAACAATGGACTTCGGATGAGACTCTCTCACTAGGCTGGCAACTGCCAGAATGCTGTGACCACTGTAATGGAGAAAATAAGGAAAGGAATGGTGTTCATAGCTTACACATCCTAAGAAGCCGTTTACCATATCCTATAAGCAAAGCTTTAATCCAGTGTTATCTCCAGTGCTCCTGAAGGACATGAAGAGGAAAAACTAGGATATACGCCAAAGCATGACAAAGATGCATAACCCTTATGTGGCTGCTTTACTCATATCGTGTTCATCCTGGGAAAAAAAGTGCCCACTCGTTCCCAAAGTGGATTATCACAGTAGTTTGCCAGAGTGGCATAACTGGAATCACAACAATCTGATTCATAGCAATAATTAAGCTAATGCCAATTAAATCATTTTCACTTTGTTTTTTAAACTATTGTTTGATTTCCTGTGAATTTTAAAAGAGCACTTTTTATGGTAAATTCACAAAAAAAGGAAAGAAATTTCCATTAAAAGCCAATGAATAAAAGATGTAGCGTGTAAGATGCACTGTTAAAACATGTGGGGAGACATGAGAAGTCTGCACTCTCTCTCCTCTATCAGTCACAATGTAAATGTACAAAAGCATTAAAGCAACTCGGGCTGTATAAGACAAGGCTGTCGAAAGTTCAGAGGGATCGTGAAGGCAACATCAAAACCTCATTGTGCAAAGTTCAAACTCATGTAACAATGAGAAATGTACTAAGCACTTTTAGCTGTATTCCCAGCACGTGGGTGGAGTTGAATGGCCAACTGATTAGTTATTAATGCCATGAGATGAAAAGTGACGGGAGTGAAAATAATTGGTGGGATTTCGAGGCTGAATTTAAAAAAAATGAAAGTCAGTGAATGGCTGACAAAATTCCTTAAAAATGTCCATGTGAGTTTTTGAAAATTGAAATTGAAGCCTTTTTCTGAAAATTGTATTTAATAACAGCTGCCAACAAATCTGGAGAGCATGTGCTGTATTGTATATTACAGTGCAGGTCATAATATGTAAGTGGTAACAATTATGTGGAGGCTCCGTTCTAGCTTTCATCCACTTTATCTTTTCTGAATGACATTTTTTTTTAAAATTTGTTGTTTGCCATGTTGTTCCTTAAGAGCAGAAATGTTTTAGGCAAATTGCTCAAACAACTGTAGTTTTATTTTTTGGTACCTCTCTGTCATTAGCACCCCTTTTCCTAAAAACACTGGCTTTTTAAAACACGTCTATTAACTGAAAAAAAAAAAAAAAAGAGTTTCTGGTGCATGACCACACAGCAACTCTACCTGTTCTCCTTCAGTGAAGACCTTGTTTCCAAAACTCCAGGAAATTGTAGGTGTCGGGTCACCGGAAGCCTGACATGTCAGGGTGACTTGATCATCAAACTCCGAAGCAGTTTGGTTACTCAAGTAGGTAATGTTGGGTTGGACTAGAAGCAAGACAGAAACTGTTATTAGAATTGGTTTTCTAGACACATAAATGTGGGTACTTTTGGTTTAATGCTCCATCTTCAACGAGAGGCAGCGGGGTAATTTAAAATATTTAATCTGTTTCTTTTTTAACAGCTAATAGATGCTTGACATTTATTAACAGCTATTACTACTAATCCACCGGCCTTTTTTCTATAAACTGGGTTTGATAGCAGAGGTGGAAAAATTCTTAGGTTCAAATCACCACATAAACTCATCAGCTGCTGACAGATGAATATATGCAATCGAATGATCACGTCACTGTGAATCACACATTTGACATGGCCATTTGATCCATGGCTGATAGAGACGTTTCAGTATTACTGTGGCAAGGAATACAGAGTGGTTTCATACCCCAGTGAGTTATAACAGAGCCACAAGACTACATAATTTCCTCATGAAGAGATACTGCACTTTATGTTTCACAGCTGCGTAAGGAAAAGCTGCGCAAGAGTGTGCAGCGAATGCTACAATGTACAACAAAGAAATGTTAGAGATGATACAAAAAAAACAGCCGCCGTGTTCTTTATGCTAAGCAAACCATCAACAAATGGAGTCATTTTCTTACCAAACACGCTTAGGCTGACTTCCTCCGTTTTCTCTCCCGCCTTGTTCTTGGCGATGCACGTGTAATCTCCTTCATCCACTTTGGTGACATGTTTTATTAACAATTCCGAACCATCGTCATTGAGGCTGTACTTATCGCCGTCTTCAAGGACAACACCGTTACTGTAGCAAGGGGAAAAAAAGAGGAAAAGAGAAGTGTCCGCGTCACATGCATTTACTTGCACAACTTGAGGAGCCTACGAATAATTTTCTAAACTCACCGACAAAGAACAGTTGGGGTTTTATCTACTGAAGCAAGCAGCTCGCAGACAACAAAGGCTCGCAGACCAAAAAACGCCGTCCTGTGCTCAGTGCTTCTAAGAACACCTCCAACATCGCCTCAGATTCTGTTTGCCTTTGGTCTCCCTTCAGCCTTGTTTTTAAGAAGGTCATACACCAATTGTATGATGACGATGCTTCTTTTAGATTTCAGAAAACACTCCTACTCTCAGGAGCTAAACTTTCACTTGAGGTTAGAATCTCTCTCTTTTTCTTTTTTCTTTTGTAGTGAATTAAGTGTTCGTAGACCTGGAGTAGCAGCATCACTCCAGCAGCCAGACAGTGAATGACAGGCCTGTCAGTAACTAGAACAAATAGAGCTTTACCCCTATGTTTTTTTCACCGCCTCACACATCTATCCTCCCAACAACCTTCCTGTCCATCTTAACCCTCTTCTCTTAACGCCTGCTTCTTCCTCAGGATCACACATTAGATCTGCTGCATGAAAGACAGCTGTGAGCGGGATTCGAGTTCAGTCGTCTTATTTACTCATGCAGCAGCAATCATGCTTTGTCTAAAGGTTTCTCCTCACTGCTGCATTCAGACATGAATGATGCACCAAGAATATTAACGTGCACTGAGCAAACAGCTGCATGAAGAGAAAAAAACACGTTCGGGCTGACGTCCTCGATTTCGTCTCCCGAAAACATACATTTGCACAAGTCGGTGGTCATCAAACAAAAATATCCTATTCCAGCACGCACGTGCTCGGTGTATTGGTAAGCTAATGTTTAAAATCATTACTAACTCATAAAACCTCCTCTTTAATCACCAGAACTTACTCAATTAAACACATTTCAGGTACCGATTTTTGAACTACTACCAATTAGCGGTTGCTAAGATGCATATGCACTTTGTTTCCACTTTGGCTTATTCTGCTTGTTGACCTATTCATAATCCCTATAAATATATATTAACAAGTGTCATGTAAAAATTAACTTTACCAAAAGCAAGCCTGCATGAAAGGAGTCAGAGACAGAAGAATAAAGGGGACTGACTGGTAAGCTATGAACAGCAAAGTCACAAATCTGGTCTGGTCACTCTACTGCATGCAGAGATTTATTATTTCCTTATTATTACTGTGTCCAGCAGCTGGAGAGCTGGAGAAAAAACAACAGAGACAACCCGACAGCTGCCTCGGGTAGCGCACATCCTGCTAAAGGGTAGCCTCGAACTTATAAAAATGTCCCCGTTAAATTGCTGCTTCTTGCTGCACAAAAGATAAAAAAAACCCCGAGGTCCTTTTTGATTAGGAATGTTTGTAACTAATTGAACTGACCTGTAAATATAAATTGCAGCCATTAGCGTAGCATAACAAATTCCTAATTGCCATGGAATGAAGTTTCAGGAAGACTAATCTTACGCAGATGTAGCTCCGTCCTATCAACCCTTTATCTAGTAAGAGGCAAAAACACATGACTCATTTACCCTTTTACTGTGGAAGTTATTACAAGGCTTTTGATCATTGAGGTAAAAAGCCATCAGAATATCTCTCCATGTCATTGTGTCATAAAATGCACTGCTGAAGTGAAAAAGCAAAAGGTAGCGGTATATAAATCTCCCGCTCGCTAATGAATACTAATGAGTGTGACTTATAATGAGTTTCCATTGAAAAGCTGGAATTAATAAAAGCCCTCTATGTGCTTTAAGTACTAGTACACTGTATAGTGCATAGTTTGTCTTCCATTGCTCTGCTGCAAATATCATTCATCTCAGCTTAATCTTATCAGGCTGCTTTTACCTGCTTTGCAGATTGCCACTTAGAGAGGGGGGGGGGATCATTTGTATTGACTTCAGTGTTTCTTTTTGGTTTGTCGTTGAAGTTTTGGACCTGAAAAGGATTACTGTGCACCAAGCATAACATTTTGTAATTCATAATTATTCATTTCATTGCTCTAACTAATATTGCTTGTTTAGAGGTCAAGAACGAGAGGATCTGAAGACCAAAAAAAGAATAAATAAAATGCTTCATTTTTTGTGGAAGCTCGAAATTTCTCCTGACGTGATCCGGGGTAAATCTGAACTCTGCTCGTCACAACAGCCAGATAACGAGATTGAATGACGTACTGTGCCCAAGTCACGGTGGGTTCCGGGAAGCCATCTGCATCACAAGCCAGTAAAGCTGATTTACCAACGTCTGCTGTAGCGTTGACTTCTGGGTGCCTGACACGGATGGTGGGAAGCACTGAAAAAAAGATGCAAGATTCATTTGAATTTCAAGTAACTAATGTGTATTTATACATTATATTTAAAGAGGTTTAATCTAGATATGTAGATTCAAAACCTATAAATGATTTTATGACTTCTTTTTGCACATTCCATATAAAATTAACCAAACACTGAAAAAAAGACCCCTTTTTGGTTTGACTTGTTTTAAACAACTACCGAACCCACATGGTGATATGTAATTGTAGTAAAGTTTATCCAAAATGCACTTCAAGTTTCCTCCATTGAGTCGTGATAAAACAGACTGGACGTTTCAACATAGCTGAAATGAACATATTCCACACACATATAACGATATTTCCCATAGTTACACGTCTATTTCTTAATTTAGTCAGAAGGTTTGAAAATAAAAAAGCAATTATCCCTAAAAAACTACACAGTAGCTTTTAAGAAGTGATAATTCCTCAAGAAAATTGCCCAAAAACATTTTTTTAAATATATTTTTCAAAATTCTTCATCCTGATAGTTAAAGGACTTTGATATTTAAAAGCAATTTGGGGATAATGTTGCTACTAAAGGTCAGAGCATCTGCAACATTTTCTGAGAAATCCACAAATTTAAAACCAATTTCTCGTCATTCTGGTCCGTAGTTGTTTAAATATGTTTCTCTAAACCAGAAACTTGAAAAAGATGGCTAGATGATCTGACTAACTATCTAACTATCACTGGAGCAACAAAAAAGTTTTAAGGGTTTGAGAGCCATCTGGCTCATTACTGAACCCTGCTCTGTTAAGCCAAAACCACACATTGATAAACAGCAGGGCAGGCAGAGCATAGAAGGTGG